TATTTTAATAATCGATTAGTCATCGATTAATCGATTAATCGTGGCAGCCCTACTCGCGGGCTCCTCTCCACACCTCCCGCGCACACACACACACATTTGTTGTTCTATCCTCATGGGGACTTTGCATTGGCTTCCATTCATTTCCCCGTCAATTCTATAGCCAACCATAACCTCCCAGGTAGGCTATACACCTGACCCAAACCCTAACCCCACCAGGCGGTGTGTACCGGGGAAATGGTCAATAATTATACCCATCATGAAGCAAAAACCTGTACACACACACACGTGCGCGTGCGCATATGCATAGTGAAACAACCGTAGTTTTTAAAAAAAATTTTTTTTTTATCCAGATCGGAGTCTAAAAACCAGTTCTTTCTTGTTAGTTGGAGATGAAAATAAGATGTGGACTGTTGCACGCTCTTAAGTCCATCTTGTTAATTTAACAGTCGGGGTCTGAGCGCTGCAGATCCTTTCAGCAGCATGAGGAAGCTCACCTGTATGGCAGGCCGCTTTTGCTCTTAATCGACTTCACCACAGTTACATTCCAAGGATGTGAAATAGGTTCTTCTGGGTCTCAGGAGGATAAAACTAGACATATTAGATATTTAAGTAAAATAATATTAGATAATAAGATTCAACTAATGCTTATGAAATTGCAGACTTTTATGTGTTATTATTTCTTAAAAAATCTGCACAATCTTTTAATAAATATCAGTAATATTTCTGTTATTAATCATTATTCTCTGTTCATCATTCTGGTTTATCCAAGGCCAAAGATCCATAGGTTCAAACTACAGGAGCTGTCCATCTGAGGGGCATGTGTCTAAAAAAATTAACCATGAAATGTTTAAGATGTTTATAAGATGTTCAGCCCTTAAACATTTGCACTTAGAATTTTATAGAATCACTTTAAATACTTTTCAGTAAGTTATAGGTTTTGTACAATTCTGGTTCAAATAAAGAACTTTATGTTTACTTGATTGTTAACTAATTATTTTTGAGTTGATGTTGCCTTAATGAACAGTGAAATAAAAAAAAAACCTGTAAAACTCTGATGTTAAATGCGACGTGTGGTTGAAAATTTGGGTGTACCTAACTTTTGTGCTGGTGCGCCTAAGAAAAAATGTTAGGTGCACCAGTGCAACCAGTGCAAAAAGTTAGTCTAGAGCCCTGCACCTCCGTTAGAATCAACAAAGCTGCTTTTCAGAGCGTCTGCTCTCCCTGTGTGTGCAGGAACTCCAGTGAACCGCATTCCCATCATGGCCAAGCAGGTGTTGGACTTGTACCGACTGTATAAACTGGTAACAGAGAAGGGAGGACTGGTGGAGGTTATTAACAAGAAGATTTGGAGGGAGATCACCAAGGGTCTCAATCTGCCCACCTCCATCACCAGCGCTGCCTTCACCCTCCGGACCCAGTAGGTCTCTCTCCTTTGAGACATTCACAACAAGACAAAACCTACCTGGGACACTTTCTTCTTAAAGAATTAGATATAAATTAAATCAAAAAAATTAAATAATTGAAAACATTTCTTCAGAATGCTAGACTTGTAATGTAGTTTTGAACATAAAGTTGAAATGTGTGGAAACACTAATGAAAATACAACAAAAACTAAACATTTTGTAAACACAAATAAATATGATGCTTTTAATCAACTAAAATAAAAAAAAATATTACATTCATAAACCTAAGAAATAATTTGATGACTACTGTGTAAAAATGTTACTTTTCTATAGAGGATTGAGCCGTGGTGCAAATTTTTATTCTATTTTTTCAAAATTCTGAGGATAAAGTCAGAACAAAAAGCATCATATTGTGTTTATTACTGTCTACAAAGTTAAGTTTTATATATTTTAATTGGAATTTCTGATGTTTTCTTCACATTTTAACTTTTCATGTTAAAGCCTACAGAAATTAAAGGTCTACCTTTCCCTGAAAAAATTCATATCACCGCCAGTTATGTTGAGGATGACTTTCAACGACTATCACATCAAATTTTAGCTCAATATTTCTAAAACTAAGCTATTTTATTAATTTTATTTTCTGCCGTGGCCCTAATCTTCCACAATTTAGCTCTATTGAATGAGATTAGAGGGTTTGAACAAATGGCACAAATCATGAAGAACAGCTGTTGCTGCGTTCATCGGCCAAACAGGAAAATTAAAAGCTGCTCTAGAACTGAACACTAAAACTCTGTAATTATCTGCACAGAATCCAGTGTCAACCTGGACTAATGAGACTTTTTTTTAAAGAGTAACTTACCCCAAAATTAACTTTTTTAGCTGATAAACTGTCTAGAATGTGTCTAAAATGTTATATAGTACTGTTT